AATTCTCTCTTTCAGCAGAAACCGATGACCATACTCAAGGCGCCCGCAAGCAGATAAATGACAATGACATTGCACTTGCGATATATTAAATGACAATGGCATTGCACTTGCGATTTAGTAAATGACATTGCGTTGCGATATATTAAATGACAACGGCATTGCACTTGCGATTTATTAAATGACAATGGCATTGCACTTGCGTGATTTAGTAAATGAACATTGCGTTGCGATATATTAAATGACAACGGCATTGCACTTGCGATTTATTTATTTTTTTCGGTGGCCAAGTGGTTAGCGCACTTGCCTTTCACCTCTGAGGCTGCAGGTTCGAGTCTCACTAAGTACCTTCTCAGTGCGACTCGAACCCAGTCCCCATGTGAAAAGAGTAAAAGTCGACGCTCTGCCGAAAGCCGTGGGTTTTCCCCGGGTACTCCGGTTTCCTCCCACAGGGAAAGTTGACAGGGTGGGTTAGGTAAGAAAAGGGCCCACAGTAATTGGCATATGCTGTTGTGGTGACCCTGCCCTAGTTGGCAAAGCTAAATAAATAAATAAATATATTAAATGACAACGGCATTGCAATTGCGATTTATTAAATGACAATGGCATTGCACTTGCGATTTATTAAATGACAATGACATTGCACTTGCGATTTATTAAATGACAATGACATTGCGTTGCGATTTATTAAATGACAATGGCATTGCACTTGCGATTTATTAAATGACAATGACATTGCACTTGCGATTTATTAAATGACAATGGCATTGCACTTGCGATTTAATAAATGACAATAACATTGCATTTGCGATTTAGTAAATAACAAAAAAATAGTGTATAACACTGCAAAATGTATCTAAATCGCAACAAAAACACGTTTGTTTATGTCAAGGAGTTTTTTTACAAACGGCGCCCCATAGTCGTATTCATACGAAACTTTCTACACTAAAGCGCTTGAATACAAAGAGTATTTTGCACATATATCCTTTCCGAAAATGACGAAAAGTTTAGAAGATATTCAACTTTTTCTCTTTTTATCGTTTGAATGTTTGGCGAAGCGGTGAGTATAACTATATGATTGTTTCGGTTTGTATAATGTTCGACAACACTTGACCCCCCGTTCGAAAGGTTATTTTGTGAGGATTACAATGGTGGGTTTTGTTTTAAAGGGGGGTAAATCACTGAGCTCTACTATATATATCTGGAGATCGTGCTCCCATATCTCGTCAAACAAAAAAGTGTCCGCAAAAACATGGCGGATTTCGAGCTCCGCGTCCACTATTTTCGGGCGATTTACCACTGACCACATAATATTTTTTAACGCCACCTGTTTTCGCACCCCCC